GTGTTTGTTAATTTTGTTTTGTATCTAATTGTATTAACATATTCATTTTGTACTCAAGTTTTACAGGGTTTATTATAATTTCCTCTGACTTTTTTCCTTTCTTCCTTTTAATCTTGTTTGAAATACTTTTATTCATAAGGTATTACTCATTTAACTGTCATTATCATTGGCAACAGCCACTATAATAAATGTGTTATTAGCAGCAGTAGCAGGGATTGTACTGTTGATAGTAGTAGTGGTAAGCTGGTGTAATATTTGCATGTAAGCCAAAAAATATTCATCATGCAGACTTTGCTCTCCATATATGGTTGCCTGTTGTTGTTGACTGACAAGCTGCAGTCTTGTCTGTCAAGTGTTTGCTGGCCTGAAGCCGTTAGCTCTCAGTCTTGTCAGTCAGGTAGGCTGTGCTCATCTGACAGGCTGCTGGCTGCGATTAGATGGCTCGTATCGCATTCATTCCTGAGCTATGCTCTCAAGATTTTACAGACATCTTCAAGCAGCCGTGCTGGAAGCCTGTCAAGTGCCAAATGTGGGTAAATTTTTACCCCTGATGAGTTGACGTCAGAGGTGCAACTGCCACACAAGTAGGGAATTATTTATGAGAAAAAACAGACTTGAGAACAAATTGCCATATGCTCTTTTTAGTTGACAGTTGGGCTCATTTCCATAAACATACTGACCCCTTGAACTAAATGAAAATAATTACTAACCTGACAAACGCTGATAAAGTAAAACACTCCAATAATTTGTGGCAGAATTACATGATGAATTCCAATGTGTGTAACATGCTACTGTTTTGTTTCCCACTGAGTATGTATGCCTTTAGACTTTATGTTAAAGCACACAATCTCCATCCTCTATCATCAGAAAACACCTTTTGTGGCTGTTCCACTGATGGTAAACAGAGGTCTGTTTGAAGCTGTTAAGCCAAATAAGCTCTATTTAACAGTAATGCTCAGACTGGGTGCATTTTTGGCAAAAACCTTTGCTATACAAAAAACCCAGAGTTTTTTGTGTGTGTTTTTAGTGGACACTTAAAAGGTAGACCAAGTTTTTGAGTAACTGACTCATGACTCCACTCACCTGTTAAAGATGTACTATTTGGGAAATATCAGAATCAGGTTTATTGCCAAGTAAGTTTTCACATAGGAGGAATTTGCTAATTTGATTTTATCCTGAGAGGTAAAAATCACATTTCATCAAGTGTCACTTTGTTCACTCAGTTTAAATATTAATCACAGGCACATTTAGTTGTGCGGCATTCAAAGGCAGTTCAGTATGTACAACATTGATGAATATACCCCCTTCACCACCACAACATTCTGCTGATTCTGCCTGTCTTCAGGTCAGTAAAAGATTGAGCCTGTTTATGGTCAAAGCTGTCATGTTTAGTTAAGTACAAAACTAGCCTATACAGGCCCTGTACAAAATGTTAGTACCTCAGCAAATACTGAACACCTCTACCTAAGAGTTACACTCTTTTCTCTGTGTCAAGAATTGAGCTGAAAGATGGAAGCCTTGCTTAACCTAGCCTAGCAAACCACACATTGTGGTTTTTAAATTACAGTTAGTGTATGGGTTAAACAAACCAGACACTGTCATGAGCTTCAAAACTTTTGAAAATGTTCAGCCTGAGCCTGATCCTGGCCTAAAACCGACACCAAAAATATATATGTTTAATACTTATAATATAATCAACATAAAAATGAGTTAAATAAGCCTGAGTCCAATCCGAGCCTTGTCTACAAAAAAATGGACTCAGCCTGGCCCAAATGGACTCAGTATGTCAGGGCTCGTTGGGACCTGATGCTAAGCTAAGTTAATTGCCTCCCAACTCCAGCTCCCAATGCACAAGCATGAAAGTGGTTTGATCTACTCATTTAACTTTTGGAAAGAAAAGCAATAAGCATTTATAACACTTATAGTACAGTTCACTTTAAAGCTAGGGTAGATAATGTATTTCAGAAGTATTTGTTAAAAATTCTCTTTACGTTCCATGTGGCTATCGCAGGCCTAAAATAAGCTCAGCCAATCATTCAATCCGACCCGAATTTAAGCTGAGTACCAACAGCTCAAAACTGGAACAACCTGCAGAACCTCTGAACCTAAAGATTATACATTTGTTGCTAATGTGCATCTTTAAAAAAATACTAGCCCAGATCTGGCTGCTGTAGATTAGAACAATTGACACTATCTATCCAAAAGACTAGATTCACCTTTCTTGGGGTACTATATGCACAAACTCCTAAGCCTCTTTGATTTTCTATGTATTTTGTGTCATCATCATATGGGCAAAAGGAATTGGAAGTCAAGAAAAACCAGTGTGGAGTATCAGGGTGGGGATGAGGAGAAGTAATCTATGAGTGGACTCATTTCCAATTTGGACAACATAACATCACATTGATATTCCACTATCATCACCAGCAACATCCCAGGTGGTATGCAGCTCTTGCCAATAACTGTTAACCTCTGATGCCCATCACACTGGAAACACAGATTTGCTTTTTGAGGCTGCACATTTGAGCAGGTGACCCTTTTAATCACGCACTCATTCCTGCTCAACTAGCCAAGACCACTGAATTATGGAGGAGAAAGCAACAGAGAGAAACTAAGTGAGAGAAAGTGACTGAGCTGGACCCTAAGATGCTGCACGGCTCAACATGCTCGAGAAGCATGTTTAAATAAACATCAGACAGATAGAGAAGGTAAAGGCCATGCAGAGTCATACATGGGGCATATTCCCCTCAGCCAATTATTCCTCTTAGCTTCAAGCACGTCAAGCTGTCCTGATGTATTCTAGATGTCCATGTATAAGTGTCCAGGGGCTGACATATTCATGCATATACCTACTGTAAATCTCCTCAACGCTCACTCCCTTTCTCCTCTTCCTTCAATTTAACTACATGGGGGTTTACTGGTGGATGTTAATATAGCTGCATGATACAGCTGCATTGGGTCTGCGGCCAAAAGAGGAAAAACCTGTGACTGACAGAAAAAGCGCAAATCAGCTTCTCTTCCCCTTCTTATCCTGAATCTGACAGTAAGGGGACTGGACATGGACGTTAATGATCACCTGCAAGTCCTGCTCCTGTCTGACCCGTCTTCCATCTAAGGTCTTTTTTTCTGCCTATATCCATCCAATCTCTGAATGTGAAGGCATGGTGTACTTACAGCCTACAATCCATATAGACATATGGTTTACAGGCTGATATATATGATAGCAAACTCAAAATCCACAGAGGATCTAATGACTATATGTGGGTCAGCCCACACTGAATAAAGAATAACTCTTTAATTCCTGTGTAGGACCTTGTCCTCGTCTTCCTCTACAAGAGACGCTTTACCCGTCTCTTAATGCAACAATAATCTTAATGTTTAATTATGTTCCACCAGGAGAGTCCAGAA